TTTTGGAGGGGAAAAATTGCGTCCTATAGAGCGAAAAATACGGTAGATGGCGATGATGGCGATGATGTCCTTTTTCTTCATTTTGCAGATGGATATACTACATACTGTCTACAATGGTCTTACTTGCTATAGCTTCTTATCTTCCTAACTTCCTTCCTCTTCTCTGGATCCAAGCCCATAGCAACACTAGCATGGAACATCACCTCTAAAAATGCCAACAACTTGGAGCTCACTGCCTTGGAATATGCTGTCAGGCCCCTAATCCACATGAACTGCTGGATCTGGGAGGTGAAAGAAAGAGAAGACTAAGTAAATGATATCCTGCATGGCTCCAGCATAAGGATTTGTTGCTCATAAGCCATTAATATTCTTAGGCACCCCGTGCCAAAAATGTAACTGTTATCCAAGGATAAGTTGCATCCAACTACAAGGAAGTAATGAAAAGGCTGACAGTGTGGGAGTTAATGAGAAAAAGGCATGACGTCTTTCCGCTGATCACAGCGACCACAGCATCTGTAGGAGAGTACAGTGCATACACACACCAGGCATGGGAGCCTGAAGCTGGGTGGAGAACAGCTGGGAGGGCAGGGATTTTTTACACATATTTATTGAATGATTCTTCAGGGTTGAAGAGGAATGTGCCTGAGAAAGTGTGCGGCTGAAAACAGGGGCAGGGTGGAAGGAAGCGGACAATGTCCTACTAATTGAAAAGGGATGGAATTGTCATTTAGAATAGCCTAAGCCCTCAGATTCTTGCCAGTCGTCTGGCTGAAGGTGTAGGTGCCACAAAACAAGCAGCCTGGATCCCATTATTGCTTGCTATGGAATCCAGACGTTAAGCATGGGGATGAAATCTCTTTTTTTCCTGCTCTCTGGGAAAACTTGTGAAATTACAACTGTGCCACGCATTCTCTGATTTCATGGCCCGCCTCAAAAGTTCCATATGCTCTCTTCCTCTGTTTGATGATGATGATGATGATGATTATAATTATTATTATTTCCGGCTCATCTTGCTTGGTTTCTCCAACTACTCTGGGCAGCTTACAGTGCATATAAAAACATAGTAAAACTTCAAACATTAATAATAATAATAATAATAAATTTTATTTATATCCCGCCCTCCCCAGCCAAAGCCAGGCTCAGGGCGGCTAACAACAAACAAATAATCAAACAATCGAATAATCAACATTCTAAAACATTTCATTATAAAATTAATTAAAATCAAATTAATGGCAACCGTTAAGCAAAGTTCTGTGCAGGTTGCCGGAGGTGGGAGTCAGGCTGGGCCCTGACCAAAGGCCTGGTGGAACAACTCTGTCTTGCAGGCCCTGCGGAAAGATGTCAGGTCCCGCAGGGCCCTAGTCTCTTGTGACAGAGCGTTCCACCAGATTGGAGCCGCAGCCGAGAAAGCCCTGGCTCTAGTTGAGGCCAGCCTAACCTCTCTGAGGCCTGGGACCTTCAGGATGTTTTTATTTGCAGACCGTAGGTTCCTCTGTGGGGCATACCAGGAGAGGCGGTCCCGTAGGTACGAGGGTCCTAGGCCGTATAGGGCTTTAAAGGTTAAAACCAGCACCTTAAACCTGATCCTGTACTCCACCGGGAGCCAGTGCAGCTGGTATAGTACCGGATGAATGTGATCTCGCAGCGAAGACCCCATAAGGAGTCTCGCCGCGGCATTCTGCACCCGCTGGAGTTTCTGGGTCAGTCTCAAGGGCAGCCCCACGTAGAGCGAGTTACAATAATCCAGTCTGGAGGTGACCGTCGCGTGGATCACAGTGGCTAGGTCAGGGTGAGAGAGATAAGGGGCCAACTGCTTAGCTTGGCGGAGATGAAAAAAATGCCGCCTTTGTTATAGCTGTAATCTGCGCCTCCATAGAGAGGGAGGTATCGAAGATTACACCCAAACTCTTAACGGACGGTGCTGGCACTAATTGCACCCCGCAAGAGATGGGAGTTGCCCCCAATCCCATATCGTCCCGTCCCAGCCAGAGGACCTCTGTCTTCGAAGGATTTAACTTCAACCGGCTTCCGCGTAACCATCCAGCCACAGCTTCCAAACATCTGGTCAGTGTGTCTGGGGCCGAGTCAGGATGGCCATCCATCAACAGATAGAGTTGGGTGTCATCGGCATACTGATGGCAACCCAGCCCAAAACTCCGGACAAGCTGGGCGAGGGGCGCATAAAGATGTTAAAAGCATCGGGGAGAGTATCGCACCCTGAGGCACTCCACACACCAAGGAGTGGCGGGATGACAATGCCCCCAAGCGCCACCCTCTGTCCCCCGACCGGAGAGAAACGAGCGCAGCCATTGAAGGACTGTGCCCTGGATCCCCACGTCGGCAAGGCGGTGGTCCAGGAGTTCGTGATCAACCATGTCGAAGGCTGCTGACAGGTCTAGAAGAATCAGCAGCCCCGACCCGCCTCGATCCAGCTGCCTGCGGAGATCATCTGTTAGGGCGACCAGAGCCGTCTCGGTCCCATGACCAGCGCGGAAGCCAGACTGGAATGGATCCAGAGCCGATGTTTCATCCAGAAACCTACCAAGCTGTTCAGCAACCGCTCTCTCAATCACCTTACCCAGGAATGGAAGATTCGAAACCGGGCGGTAATTGGATAGATCTAAGGGATCTAATGATGTTTTCTTTAAGAGCGGGCGCACCACTGCCTCCTTCAATTCCCCTGGAAATATCCCGGTGCCAAGGGACAAATTGATGATATCTCCCAGGGGGGCCCGCACCTCGTCTGGACACGCTCTAATCAGCCAAGACGGGCACGGGTCAAGAGGACAGGTGGTGGGCTTTCCAGCTCGGAGGAGTCTGTCCACATCGGCTGGGGATATCCGATCAAAGTGGTCCAATACTGGACCCGAGGACAGTCGAGGGGCCTCCAGTTCCTTTATTGTATCCAAATTGGCAGGGAGGTCATGGCGGAGCAACAGGACCTTCTCCGCAAAAAAGCTCGCAAATGCCTCACAGCTGTGTGTCAGATTGTTATTTAAATTTGGCTGTCCTTCAAGGGACGTTAAAGACCTAATTATACTAAATAATTGCGCCGGGCGAGAGCTAGCGGATGCAATGGAGGCCGAGAAGTAAGACTTCTTAGCGGCCTTCACCGCCATCTCATAGGTTTTCATAAAAACCCTATAAGATGTTCTTGAGGCTCCGTCACGGGCACCCCGCCATACTCGCTCTAGCCGTCTGAGGTCCCGCTTCATTTTCCGAAGCTCCTCGGTAAACCAGGGAGCCCGGTTTCTGCGGAGTCGCAGAGGGCGCTTAGGTGCGATCTCATCTATGGCTGCCAGGAGCTGGGTATTCCAGCCCTCAACAAGCTCAGTTGTCTTCAGGTGTCTTCTAAAAGTTGTGTAGTTCTTTATCTCCTTGATGTCTTCTGGGAGGGTTTTCCACAGGGAGGGCACCACTGCCAAGAAGGCCTTCTGCCTGGTTCTCTGTAACTTCACTTCTCGCAGTGAGGGAACCACCAGAAGACCCTCAGAGGAGGCCCTCAGTTTGAATTATGTTTGAATTACCGGACATATCATATCACATGACCCACCCAGAAGTAGAGAAGCCCATGCACTTGATATCTATATTCATTGGGTCCTGGGATCCACACTGCACAAGGTTCTAGGACCCAGGGAAATCTATGTGTGCAGGCTTTTATACTTCAGATGTCCATGCTGCACCTGGACAACAGCAGCCTGCTGGAGGAGCCAGTAGCTTAGGTCCATGTCCTCTTTGAAAGCTTTTAATAGGTTGGAATGTGTCCTTGGCTTGTAATGGTGCCTCTTGTTCTACTGGATGGAGGGGTATATGCCTAACCTCTAGCTTCTATGTGGCTGAACTGTAGCCTACTGTGCAGCATTAAGACTTGCATCCATTGTTCTGCCTGCATTTGAATCTGGCCCTGTCCATCATTGGTATTCGACCCCTGAAAGGAATGTGGCTCTCAGGCTGAAAATGGTTCCCAACTTCTGTTGTAAGATATAAAGAAGAAAATATATTGTATCACCCTTAGCTCCTTGGGAAAAAAGGATGGGATAACAATGTAACCCAAAGCTGGGGAAGCTTTTTCAGCCTGAGGGCCATATTTCCTTCTGGGGGCCCCATGGCAGAGGTGAGTGTGGCCAGAGGCAATAGGAGGTGGAGCAGTTAATTTTAATTTAACCTTTGTGTAGTAGGTGTGCTTCAATACACACTCACACATCCTCCATCCACAGCTCCTCATTTAGATTGAAAATGGCAACATGTATTTGACTGAAGTCACACCGGGCATAAACTGAACAGTTCAAAATAATCAATTACTTCTGTACTTCTTGGCTTGTAAGGTTCTCCTAACTCTAAAGACTACTCCCTCTGCTGATCAGTTTCAATGGAACGTGCCAACCCATGCAGTGTTTATTTTTTAAAAACCTTTCCATCCTGCCTTTCCTCAAAAGAGCTCAAGGCAGCTAGTGATAAGAAATGAAGCTGGCACAAATGAACCATTAAAAAAATCACTTACAATCTAACACAAAAATACTAAATCACTAAAAACAGAGAGAGGAAATGACACAGCAGAGCAGCTTTTTTTTTTTTTACATGAGTATTCGAAAAGACAGATAAAAACTGACATCATAAAACAGTCATTTAGCTAACGACTTCCTAAAAAGGATGGTTTTCCCAACTTGTGAAGGCCAATAGATGCCACCATCAGGAGAGTTTCAAGGGCAAGGATAAGAAACCTGTGACCCTCCATATGTTGTTGAACTACAACACTCAGTGCCCATTAGCACTGGCCATGCTGGCTGGGGCTGGTGGGAGCACAATCTTAACCATGCCTACTCAGCAATAAATGCCTGTTAAATTTAATAGGACTTGCTCCCAGGTAAGGCTTGGGATTGAGGCTTATGGATCTATGGACCTCTAAGGGAGATTTGGATCTGTGCTTCTCCAGCACCAATCTCAGTGTAGTCGGGATTTTAGTCTTCTTCTTGGGGTCTCTGCAGGAAGCAGTGCATTTGGGAGGGCTATACAGTAGCTCAGTGGCAGAGCATGTGCTTTGCATGCAGAAGGTCCTGGGCTCAATCCCTTGTAGTTCCAGAGGGGAAATATTCAGATAACAGGTGATATGGAATATCTGTACCCAACAGCTGCTTGCAGAGGTACCTAACAGAATAGATTAGACCTCATGTCTACCCCAGCCGGCATAGCAATGGTCAGTGATGGTAGATGTTGTGGTCAAAAACATCTGGAGAACACCAAGTTGGGAAAGGTTAAAACAGATAATAGATGGGAAAATAGTATTCTGTGTAAGTTCACAAGGTGTTGGTCCAGAATTAAGAAGGGGGGCTATTTTGTGCAAGACTTAAGTACATCTGCTGTTTGATGTATCTCTTAATGTCATCATGTTCCGCAGCCAGTTCTTTTACAGATCCACAGAGCACCAATGGGCTCCATTCCATCCTATGAGACTTCACCCTTTGTGATGTTAGGAATCATCCCCATCATTTTAGGATCTGGTCCCCAAGACACCTGACAACTGCAACACAGCTTTTTTGATGCTAGGTCATTTAGCTGGTGTAAAACACTCTGTCCTGTTTCTTCTTAGCATTGCATTAAGATGGATGGGATGCAAAGTCAATTTTACAAAAAAGACATTTGATCAGTCCTTAGAACTGAGCTCATTACTCAATTAACAAGATCAGCATGATTAATTGGTTAATCCTTGTAAATTGGATTTTAGTTGGATTATAATCAGAGTTGTCGCCTGTCAGAGGGTTTTTGGTGTTTGTGGGTTTGGTGTAAATAACAGCCGGATCCACAGACCCATGTAATTTCCAATGGCACTCATGAATACTGAACAAAGTAGATATAGACACACAACAGACAAAAAGTATGAACAAATCACAGTAAATAAACTAAAATCTCTAAATAAAAATAAATATTGTGAAAGAGCTGCCCTGGGTATTTCAATTGAGATAGCAGATGCAGACAAGGAAATGAAAACACCCCTGGATCAGTTGCCTCCATTGAAACAAATGAGGAAATATTTGCCAGTCAGGAACACAACCTACTTCTCCACATATTTAAAATTCATTGTAGTGAAAGCTATACTGATATTTCATTTGCTTCTGTGTTGTCTGAATTGGATTGGACTGCTTTGTGTTTTTAGGCCCTGGGATTATTCATTGATGGTGGGCGCATTACAAAATCGAATTAGCAAATAAATACTTAACTCCAGAAGTGCTTTGCCAGGTGGGGTGAAGCCTCCACACTAGAACCCCAGCAGGTGGGTTGCTTGCTGCGATGGAGCAGGGATGGGGAAACAGGTGCAGTGCAAATACACCAGCAGGAGCACCAGATTGATCCTACCAGTGCATTTGCACCATGGCGACCTCCCATCTCCCTCCAGGTAAGCAACAGTGACCTACCTGCTAGGAAGCTAACATGCTGGCTGCGCTCCACCTAGTGAGCCACTTCTGCTTATCTTGACCCACATTATGTGAAGATACCTCTGGGCACAATCTTCTAAGCAGGCCCCATTGTAACCTGTTACCTCTGAGGATGTGGACAGGCTACTTGAATGAGTGAAACTGTCCACCTGCCTCCTTGCCTAAGGGACCCCTGACCATTAGGTCCCGTCGTGACCGACTCTGGGGGTGCGGCGCTCATCTCGCTTTATTGGCTGAGGGAGCCGCCATACAGCTTCCGGGTCATGTGCCCAGCATGACTAAGCCGCTTCTGGCGAACCAAAGCAGTGCACGGAAACGCCGTTTACCTTCCCGCCAGAATGGTACCTATTTATCTACTTGGACTTTGACGTGCTTTCAAACTGCTAGGTTGGCAGGAGCAGGGACCGAGCAACGGGAGCTCATCCCGTCGCGGGGATTCGAACCGCCGACCTTCTGATCGGCAAGTCCTAGGCTCTGTGGTTTAACCCACAGCGCCACCCGTGTCCCAGATCCTTGCCTATCCTGGCTCAAAAAAGTGAGCTGGGTAACGCACTCTGTGGGGTGGTGAATGCTTCCCTCTGTTAGGGAGTCTTTCCAGATCCGCTTAAAGAAGCAGTTATTAAACCACTTCATTAAAAACCATCTTTGGATCTAGCCATTAGTCTCAAATATTCCATTCCTGAGCAAGGTGATTGAGCAGGTGGTCGCTGAACAACTCTGGGCATGTCTGGAGTACGTGGACCACTTGAATCCCTTCCAATCGGGATTCAGGCCTCATCATGGACTGAAACTGACTTGGTTGCATTGGTTGATTATCTCCAGTGGGCTAAGACAGAGGTGAAATATATTTCCTGGTTCTGTTGGATCTCTCAAAAGCTTTTGATACCAATGACTGTGACATCCTTCTGAACCGTCTAGAGGAGTTGGGAGCTGGGGACACAGTTATGCAGTTGTTCCGCTCCTCCCTCCTGGGCTGTGTCCTCTGAAGGCATGCAGCCTAGAAGTCATTTTAGACTCCTGTCCATGGAGGTCAATTCTGTGTCCAGCACAGCTCCATCTGGCACACTGGCTGAGACCCTACCTGCCTGTGCACTGTCTCATCAGAGTGGTACATGTTCTGGTTATCTCCCACTTGGACTACTGCAATGCTCAATACTGTGGGGCTACCTTTGAAGGTGACTCGGAAACTACAACTAATCCAAAAAGTGGCAGCTAGAATGGTGACTGGGAGTGGCTGCCAGATCCTAAAGGATCTACACTGGCTCCCGGTACATTTCCAAGCACAATTCCAAGTGTTGGTGGTGACCTTTAAAGCTTTAAATGGCCTCAGCCCAGTATACCTGAAAGAGCATCTCTTCCCCCATCGTTCAGCCTGGACACTGAGGTCTAGCTCTGAGGGCCTTCTGGCAGTTCCCTCACTGTGAGAAGTTAAGCTACAGGGAACCAGACAGAGGGCCTTCTTGGCAGTGGCGCTCTCCCTGTGGAATGCCCTCCCATCAGATGTCATGGAGATAAATAGCTATATAACTTTTATAAGACAGCTGAAAGCAGGCCTGTATTAGAAAGTTTTTAATGTTTGATGTTTTATTATGCTTTTAAATGTGTTTGAAGCCACCCAGAGTGGCTGGGACAACCCATCCAGATGAGTGGGGTATAAATAATAAAATTAGTAGTAACAGTAGTAGTAGTGTTTTTAGTATTATTAGAGTAATTAGCTTTATTATTACTCACATGTTATTAAAACTAATGGCCATCAGTTGACTAAAAAACCTATTGCTGCCCTTAATGTTATTCACACAGAAATTACCATTTAAATGTGGGTTTTAATGCCACATTATTTTGAGCTTCTCAAGGTGTAGGGGTGTGGGGAGGGTAGTGTAAAACTGATTAAGGAAAAGAAGAAAGGGAAGAGGGGGGAAATAAAATGAAAAAATCTACAGTTAACTTAAGGTTGGCTACAGAACACCTGAAATAGGATGCAGTTCACAACCTGTAGATTCAGATGGATCAAAACAGTTGTGTTGCCCTGCTAATTCCTCCCCGTATTTCTGATCTTATGGGAGCAGGAGTCTCTCAAAGTCCCACAGAAGCAGGTGTGGGTATATTTTAAGTCACAGCAATTCAGTTTAATTAAGTACTCCTCCAACTTGCAAAGCTTCCCATTTAAGTAATAAAATAAAAACACAACAAATGGTGCTGCACTTGGGGAACTAGATAAACAAATGCCACAGAATGGCATGGAAAACTGAATTTGCTTTGGAGAGGGAGGGGGAATTGCTCTTCGTTTACTCATATAGTCCAAATAATATAGAGACATTTGGCAGCCTTGTGGACTGCTGAATATTGAAAATAGCAGAAGTGTCGGTGGTCCTTGCAGTTTCCTTTATCTTTTAGGTGAGGAATGTGGAACCTATGACCCTCCAGACCTAATTGGACTCCAACTTCTGTCAGCCCCAGTTAGCATGGACAAAAGTTGTGGATGATGGGAGCTGTAATCCAGCAGCCTGTGGTTTTCCAACAGATTCTCCAACCCTGTTTAAAGTGAGGATGTGGGTTGAAGTCCACGAAGGTTTATGCCATAATAAATGTGATGGTCATTGTGAATCTACAGGAATCTTGTTACACTAGAAACTAATGTGACTTCCTCTCGCAAAACTGTACTGGGTTCTTCGATGCTTTATTCAGCTGTTCCTAATGGCCATGCTCAACTCAAGCACCTCTAATACTACTGTTTGGACAACACAACTAGAAGAAGCCAAGCATTCCCTGTCAAATATCCAAATGTCATTGGTTCACAACAATGTGGTGGGGAGAGAGACAGCAGACTCTTCAGCAGGACACTGTTGGGGTGGGAAAGCTTTTCAGCTCATAAGTCATATTCTCTTCTGGACAACCATCCAGGGGCCACAGGCCAACTAGTGTAAATTTCTGCACAGTAAACCTCTGCACAGTAGACAAGCTTCAGCACCAGGCCTGTTGGCAGACCAACTTTGCATTATAAAGATGTCTGCAAACATGATATGAAAGCGGGCAGCATTAACCCCGCCCTATGAGAATCCCTTGCAGACGACTGCAGTGTGCAGAGACAGACAGTCAGGTTGTGTATCCACACCAGTGACCAGAGGAGAAATGAATGCTGGGAGGAGCACAGAAAGACGAAACACCATGGTACACCTGTAGCAGCAAAACCTGACACCTTCATCTGCCCCACCTGCAATAAAACATGTCTCTCCCGTACTGATCTATGCAGCCACAGCAGACACTGTAACCCTCCAATGGTTTAACTTTACCCCCAAAGGTACACTCTTCCATTTTCTCCTGAAACAGATGCCAACAATGGTAGAGTAGTTTCTATCCATACCCCTCTCTATCTTCCATTCCATTGCAGGCATTATCAGAGTTCAAGGGCATATTCCAGCCACGTAGAAATGCTCAAAGAGGGTATGAAGTAGGGCTGTTAAAGCATTTGGCCTGGAGACAGAGGGTGTGGCTCAGAATGGGTGTGACCTGGGCTAGGGGTAGATTTTGGTAATCTTTTGTAACATGGTGCCTGTGTGAAGCCAAATTTTGGCACCCCCAAATGGATATTCTAAATTATGGATCTTCTCAATTTTGCTCCCCTTTGGCTCAGCAACCTGTGTAGGGTAG